GGCGTGGTGTGGTGTGGTGTGGTGTGGTGTGGCGTGGTGTTGCGTGGTGAGGTGTGGTGTTCTTAGTTACAGTAAGGTTTTACGGCACTCGCAACTGCATAAGGTTATATGAGCACCAAGGGGTGGATGTCAACAGGGAATCATGCTTAACTCTGCTCACCTCTCTAGCCTCAACAGTACAAAGTCTGCTTCGACTAACAAGGCACCCCGGAAATAGCGGACAGAGAGTGACAAACATACAAAAGAAATAGAGGACAAATGCAATGTGCGGTGTGGTGTGGTGTTTAGTTTTAGTAGAGGGTTTTACGGCGCTCGCAACTGCATAAGGTCATATGTGCGCCAGAAGATTAGAGGTGTTACAAGAGAGTAACAAACATAAAAAAGAAGAAGGGGAGATAAGGACGATAGAGGTTTGATAGGAAAGAAGAAGCAAACCACACCAGAGCAGTGTGGTGTGGTGCAGTGTGGCGTGGTTTGGTTTGACATGGCATGGCACGACATGGCTTTGTGTGATACGGTACACTGGCAGTGTGGTTTGGTTTGGTTTGGCATGGCTTTGTGTGAGACGGTACACTGCGGTGCGATGTGGTGCCCCAGAAATAGCAGTTCACAAGAGAGTGACAAACCTTCCCAAAAAAATAGGAAAAAAGACGATAGCAATTCCCCCTTTCTTGTTCCGGCACAGTATGAGCATGACATAGATAAATCAGCCAATTTACAATTCTACTGTGCATAAGAACATGTTAGTATCCCCCCTTTGGGAATGGCCTAAAGACAATTTCAATCAGTAGCACAGCCCGGGTTGGAAGGGGGGGGGGTGCATGGGCAGGGTTACATCTGACAAAATGCACGATGACAAAAAAAAGAAGAGGAAGAGAGATAAGGACGACACATGTTTCAAATCTTTCATAGGAAAGACGGAGCAAACCACACGAGAGCACCTGCCACCCACCCGCCTACCCAACGTCTGACGGGACTTCTGACATTCCCACAACTCTGCGGCCAGGTAGCCGGCTCAGCATCAGGATGACTGGCCTGGGCTGGGCAGACGGGCCTAGCCTCCCTTCTGATCACGGGATTTATGGGAAAATCAATCGCCTTGTGCCTGGTCGAACGGCAGCCACCCATCGATACAGTGACGTGGGTGCTCGCAAACACATCCATCCTCGTCCATACCGAGTCGGTCGCTCTCTCTCTCTCTCTCTCTCTCTCTCTCTCTCTC